TTCTACTGCCGGGTCCCCAACACTGTCTTTTCCGTCTTCTGCATATTCCTTACGATTCACGCTCCCCGTGTATCAATATCCTTTCACCTACTACTTACACTCTCTGTTTCCCTTCTACTCTACCCATAGATCCACTCAAAATTCAAACCCTAAACCCCTCAAACGACGTCGTTTGATTCATCATCGATCCAGGTTTTTGATCCGAAAATCCAAGCTGGAGCAGTTGAAGACAATTGGTAGGGAGCTCGCAATGGGCTCCCAAGGAGGATTTGGACAGTCTAAAGAGTTTCTTGACCTAATTAAATCAATTGGAGAAGCCCGATCTAAAGCTGAAGAAGATCGAATCGTGATTAACGAGATCGAAATTCTCAAGAAACGAATCATTGAGCCTGATATACCTAAAAGGAAGATGAAAGAGTATATAATGAGATTAGTGTATGTTGAAATGTTAGGACATGATGCGTCATTTGGGTATATACATGCTGTGAAAATGACGCATGATGATAATTTACATCTTAAGCGTACTGGGTATTTAGCTGTGACACTTTTTTTGAATGAAGATCATGATTTGATTATCTTGATTGTGAATACTATTCAGAAAGACTTAAAATCGGATAATTATTTGGTAGTTTGTGCTGCATTGAATGCTGTTTGTAAGTTGATTAATGAGGAGACTATCCCAGCTGTGTTGCCTCAGGTGGTGGATTTATTGGGGCATTCAAAAGAAGCTGTTAGGAAAAAGGCAGTTATGGCACTTCACCGGTTTCATCAGAAATCACCATCTTCTGTTAGCCATCTTGTCTCCAATTTCAGAAAGGTGCATTCTTTTGCAGATTTTTTTTTGTGTTTTATAGTAATAGTTGAATTGGTTGTCCAGAATGCATTGTGGAATACATGTATTATTGAGGTAATTTGGTGCAATCCAGCATAAGTTATACAGAAATTCCTGTACTATTATTTTAAGCGAGTTAGAATGTTTTAAAAGAATACATGTCCAAGCAATAGTTGGATAAGAGTATATAGAGAAAAAAGATGCACTTGAACTTATTAGTTTAGCATGTGTTTTCCCTTCTCTAAATTTATCCTACTGGAAAAAAGTTATGAAAAATTACTAGTGTTTGAATTCAAGATTGGGACATAGGAGGATGCAATAGGACATGATCCAAATGCTGTAAGTTTTTTTTCTACTAACACTTTATGTTCTTTTCATAACGATAATGCCCGGGCCAACTTGCATACACCTTACTATTAGTACAAGTACCGGGTAACTTTGCCGACCAAGGCATTGGCAGATAGGCAGAAATCGCTTGATTTTCTAACACTTCCTTTTTAAGCTGCACAGTGGAGAGAGAATAGGATCTATTGATATTTTTAATGATTTTACAAAGCTCCAGAGGATATTAATGACCTTAGTATGGTGTTGTATCAAAAAAGAGAGGACTGAGGTGCTGGATAAAATTATGAGAAGAATGTGGAATTTGCCAGTGATAAGGATATAAGTGATGAGGTAGATAATGAACTGAAGCATGTGCACATTGAATGGCATGCAAATATTGTTTAGATGCATTTGAAGAGAAAATAGATCCCTTTTATGGCGTAACTGATCCTATTTGTTATTTAACAATTATTTTTGTTTGCAGAGGCTATGTGACAATGATCCTGGTGTTATGGGCTCTACGCTATGCCCTCTTTATGATCTTATCTCAGAGGATGTTAATTCTTATAAGGATTTGGTGGTCAGCTTTGTAAGCATTCTAAAACAAGTAGCGGAGCGGAGATTGCCCAAGAGTTATGATTATCATCAGATGCCTGCTCCATTCATTCAGGTATGCAATCAAAATTCCAGTTTGATCTCTTGCTGATATGTACACGAATTTTCTTTGTGAAAGTTTAAAGCTGGAAAGGTTGTATTTTTACGTATTTTGTCTTGATGCAATGTTTCTCTCAAATTATGGAGTGGCCATTCAAGTTCATGCTACCATCTTACTTTCTGAGGGTTGGGCCTCTGATTTGTCTGCGCTGTTGAGGTTCAAATTCTTTCATTCCAATAACAAATCTTACAATAACTATGTGTCTACACCTTAGATCCAAACCAATTGGGTATGCTATATGTATCCTCACTATCATTTAAGCTTATTTCTTATCATCATCATACTAAATAAAATAAAAGTGAAAAATTAAGTTAAATATTAAACCTATTGAGTAGCTATCAACCAATCACCTATATGGATCTTTTTTTTTTCCATTATGTCTTATCTATCTATAATTAAGACCTCATTTGTTTTCATTAAGATTAAAACATCATACTCTGAATGATTAAGTTGTTGTCGAACACTGAATGATTAAGATGGTTTGTTTTTTAATATTTGAAAGTGCATAATTATTTGTAAATATAGAAAATATACATTTCAAATAAATCAGTAATTAATACCCTTCGGGGTGGCCCAATGGTTTGGGCTTGGGACTTCCATGTTGGAGGTCTCAAGTTTGAAACCTCTTGCCAACGAAAACAAGGGGTTTGCCTTCTGGGTCGAACTCGTCGCACCGGGCTTGCTTAGTGTGGGTTACCTCTCCTATGTGGTTTGCAAGCTATTGCATAGGAGCGGGGTTTTACCCTGTGCGCATCCAAAGGGTAGCGGCTGCGGGTTTCCCTTGTCATCAAAAAAATAAATCAATAATTAAATATTATAAAAAATATAAATGTAATAAAAATCATGTGTGATTTGCGAGTTATTGCACAGGAGCGGGGGTTTTACCCTGTGCGCCTCCAAAGGGTAGCGACTGTGGGTTTCCCTTGTCATAAAAAAATGTAATAAAAATATAATCATTACTTGATTTGAAAAAAGTAACATTAGTGATGTTTGAGATGATTTGTAGTAGTGGTGGTGATAATTGTGATGGTGGAGGTGGTTGATGTTGTAGTGATTGACCTGATGATGGCGGTTAGTAGTGGTTGTGATGGTGAAGATGGTTGATGTTGGTAGTTGATGGTGATTGTGGACGATGTGTGGGTGGTAGTTGGTAGCGGTGCTAGTTGTGATGATGGAGGTGATTCGTAGTAGGGATGTGATGGTAATGGTGGTGGCAATTAATATAATTATGATGATAAAGTTGGTTGGTGTGGTATCGACTGACAATAGCGGTTGATAACGGTGGTTGGCGACAATGGTGGTGTGACTGTGACAATAGAGGTGATTAGTGGGGGTGACTAGTGATTGTAGATAGAGTGGTGGTGGTTAGTGATTGTTCAAGATCTTAATGATTTAGACTTTATCCAGATGAACAAATGCTTAAATTTTAATTTAAACAAATGAACTTAGTGGCCTAAGATTTGAACCATTTTGGTTCAAACAAATGAGGCCCAAGTCTGTAAGGAAACACCAGAAGAAACCATTACAAATTCTTTTAATTGTTATGGAACTTAAGCATAAAGAGAAAATCACAATTGTATTGAAAGTCCGATGTTTCTTATATACATTAGGCTCCCAAAAAAGTCTCATAATTCTTCTTCTTTTAATGAGATTGCCAATATGTATACACAATATGTAGCGTAAAGAGTTTTTGAAGGGAGTTTGCAGTATAAAACTTAACATCTTATAAATAAGTCTAGGAAGGTTTGTTTTGGAATATTATACTATCTTTTCATATGAACCAACTATTATTGCTTAAAAGTCAGATGGAGGGAGGTGTGTTTAGTATTCTAAACCACAAGGGAGGTTATTGTACAAAGGTAATCCAGAAGGGAGGTTGCTGAAATTATCCCTAAAATTTATCATCCACCTATGGGATTACACGGGGTATGTCGTCGTTGTTGTATTTTCAATTTTGTTGAGTTACCTAAGATCAATTTGTGGTATAGTTTGTCCCTTGTGAATCTTAATCTCTTTGTTTTTATTATTTGTGATTGTCTTTTCTTGGCTTTCTATTACTTTTTATTATCTGTGTGGTACGTCATTTTCTATTGCTTTTTGAATTAATTCACCTTTGTACAAGCTTCCACTATATTGTAAAAGTATCTTTATAATTGAATGAGACAAAATCTCAAAATATTAAAGTTGTTTTCTAATTTTCTTAGTATGTCTCTAAAATAGTGAAATAATTGTTTAACGTGATATTTGAGAATAAAATATTGGCTTATATCAAATGTTAGAGAGCAATAAATCTAAGAATATAGCTTAAGCCAATTTTATCCCCCCAAAAAAGAGAATATATCTGACACCTAAATTGATCAATTGTGAATAATTTGATTGTATGTATGTTGTCAGTAAATGGAGGTTTGCATAGTTTAAGATTTTCTAGCCTTGCAGAGTATCTAACTTTTGACAAATAGAACTTGATCCCATATAAAGGTGATGAAGAACTAACCACTTCTGCAAGTCAACAAGTAAACTCATGTCCATTTGCTGGCAATACATCGACTTTAGGGTCAAAATAACTTAAAGGCAAGTTCTACATTTACCCGTTTTAAACAAAAACCCTTAAAAAAGGCAAGTTCTACAAAGTGGTCGCTGGATCAACTTTGTTGTATGAGGCGGAGTGTTAGCCAGTCAAGAACTCTCATGTTATGGAAGTTGTGGAAATGAGGATGCTAAGGTTGATGTGTGGGCACACTAGGAGAGATGAGATTAGAAGTAAAGATATGCAGGATAAGGTAGGAGTGGCCTCGATGTAGGACAAGATGCAGGAAGGGAGACTAAGATGGTGCGAGCATGTGAAGAGGAGATGCATGATGCCTTATTGCAGAGGTGTGAGAAGTTGACTATGGATGGTTTCAGGCGAGGTAGAGATAGGCGGAAGATATTGAGGATAGGGATTAGACAAGAAATGACGCAGTTGTAGCTTACCGAGAACATGACCTTAGTTAGGAGGTTGTGGAGGGCATGGATTATGGTACAAGGCAGTGTTTTGGGAAGCGAGAAGCGGAAAAAAGCGACAAGGGCTCGCTTCACAGAAGCGAGAAGCGAGAAGCGAAGCACGCGCTTTTTTTAAGTAAAGCGATATTTAGTATAAAAATAAAAAAATATTAAATAACTGAATAGAGGTAATATATTCTTAGATTAAAAGTAAATAGATAGTCAATAATACTCATAAGTCATAACATATAAAGCAAAAAATCAAAAACATAATTAAATCACAAAAGAATCAAACTCCTATTCTTCAACAAGATCCTCAAACTCTTCAAGTGCCATAACCAAGGGTTCTACTTGGTCATCATCTTCTTCATCATCAGAAGGCTCATCAACAAGGTTTCGACTTGAACTGGAACCTCTAGCTCCTCTTTCATTGCCCCTTAAAGTACTCCCCCTAAAACTATAAATATTCTCCTCAACACCACTTGCCATAGAAACATCACCATAAGTGAGACTTTCTCCTTCATACACTTCTTCATCTTGGTGATCTTGGGGTGCTCCGGTTAACCATTCATTTGCCTCATCAATACTATCCAACAAAATTGGATCAATGGTATTACGAGCATTGTAACGACGCGCCAATGTTCTATTATATTTGATGAACACTAGATCATTGAGGCGTGTCAACTCAAGCCTATTTCTCTTTTTACTATGAATCTGCACATAGTACAAAGGAATTAATAGGAGGACTTAGGATGATTAAGATACCTATTAATTTAGTAATAATGTAATGTAGTTTCTCACATGTTCATACACGCTCCAATTTCTCTCACAACCGGATGCGCTACAAGTTAAACTTTGCACTCTAATAGCAAACTGTTGCAAGTTTGGGACATTATGACCATATTGCATCCACCATTCAACTGTAGAAGAGTTATTTTAAAAGATGTGTAATAACTTAAAAGTTGAAGCTTTAAACACAATTAAAAGATGAAATTCTCACCTGGTGACCTTAAGGTTCTAGCTCTAATGGCTGATTCAATTCCAAGTAGGCCATCCGCTTTCATGTACACACCAAGCTCCTCCCCTATTTTGTCTTGCAAATTTTTATCTGGGATCATCCTCTCAACACATTTATGATATCCCTGCCACACATCTTCAGTTAAAGTCTTCATGTCATTATTTTTATAATAGAGCCCTGGGTTCAAAATGTGTCCCGCTGCATGCAAAGGTTGATGAAGTTGATCTGTCCACCTTGCATCAATGATTTCAAAAACACTTTTATATTTCCTTGTATCATAATTGAATGCCTTTTCAATACTTTCTTTGGCCCTGTCCATGGCTTCATAAATGTAACCCATTGGTGGTTTTTTCTCCCCATCCACCATACGAAGTACATGAATTAAAGGACCACCAACTCTAAGTGCTTGAACAACGTCATTCCAAAAAAATGGACTAATAATGTGTCTTGCAACTTCTTTACCAAGAGTTTCCTTTGAATAGATACTCTCATTCCATTCAGTTGACATAAACAAAGTTCTCAAATTTTTCTTTTGCTTATAAAAACTATACAAAGTCAAAAAAGCTGTTGCGAATCTTGTCTTGGCGGGTTTTACCAAATTTCTTTGCTTTGTGTATCTCCTCATCATATTCAACAACAATGCCCTTTGATTGATATAAGCATGTACCTTAACTGCCTTACCAAAAACTGTTTAAAAAAATGGTAGTTAAAATGTAAAGAAGCTAACAAAGTTTAAAAAAGAAAATTAAATATCAAGACTCAAGTTCACCTGTAGAATACGGGGCTTCTTTGAAAATGTCACCAAACATCAAGTTGATACAGTGAGCAGCACAAGGAGTCCAAAAAATATGTGGGAACACTCCCTTCAACATGTTACCCGCTTTTTTGTTCTCACTTGCATTATCAGTCACAACTTGTACCACATTTTCCTTGCCTATCTTCATGATAGTCTTCTCAAACAAGTTAAACATCTTATTAGAATCGGTAGAAGAGTCACTAGCATCATAAGATTCAAGAAACACACTCCCTCTTGGAGAATTCACCAAAACATTAATGACCATTTTTCCATTCCTTGCTGTCCATTTATCCATCATAATGGAACAACCATATGTTTTCCATTGAACCTTATGTTCTTCTACTATCTTGTTTGTCTTTTCCACCTCCTTTTTTAGAAAAGGAACTCTTACCTCATGATAGGTGGGGGGCTTCATTCCAGGGCCATATTGGCCAACTGCCTCAATGAATTCACCAAAACTCTCTGTGTAATTAACACAATTGAAAGGAAGCCCTGCATCATACATCCACCTAGCAAAAGCAGATACAGCACGATCCCTCAAAATCTTTCTAGAAGATTCTAAGTCAATAGGTCCACCTTTTCTCTTTTCGTTTGGTTTTTGCGAGAAATAGAGATTCATAGGACCCTTGATAGTGCTATTGATGGAAGACCCACTCCCACTACTTGAAGGCATCCTTTGATGCTTTGAGGGAGGCCCCATTGGCATATTAACTTCAACTTCATCATCATCCATTTCATCATTATCAACAAGATTAACCATGGATGCTTCATGGTTCATTTGAATTTTAAACTCATTTTTCTTCAACAAATATTCTTTGATCTCTTCCTTCACTTTATCCGGGACGTTCGGGCATACTTTAACATCTCTATAGCCACCGATAAGATGCTTTTTGTGACGAAATATTCCGCCATTGTATGTCACATCACAAAAGCTACATTTAACTTTTGTGTTACTACCCATAGGAGTTCCATACGCCCAAGCCGGATCCCTTTTTTGTGACATTTTGAATAAGAAAATACAACTTCACTAGTTACTACAAGCAAAAAAGAAGTGTCACTTAGTAACAAAACAACAAATTTACTAAGTAAGAAAAATAAAGACTATTAAGATTTAAGAGCAGCAACCAGAGCAGTCGCACTGTCTTGAAATAAAAAAAAAACAGAGCAGCAAGCATACACACATCACTGATCACAGTTACTATATAGAAATAAAAAAGAAAACAGAGCAGCAAAAGAATTGGAAAAAACAGAGCAGTAATATTAATTGAAAAAAAAAGCAGGTCAGTAATAGAGATTGAAAAACAGAGCAGCAAACAGAAATTGGAAAAAAAAAATGCAGCAATAAAAATATAGATAACACCCAGCAGCAACCAAAAAAAAAAAACAGTAGCAGCAACCTCGAAGAGAAGGAGGAGAAGAAGAAGAAGAAGAAGAAAAAAACTTACAGCAGTGGTAACCTGGCAGCAACCAAAAATAGAAAAAAAATCGCAGATCAGTTGCAAAGAAAAAGAGAAGAAGAGAAGACGAGAAGAAGAAGAAACTTACAGCAGCAGAGAAGAAGAAGAGAACTTACGCAGCAGAGAAGAAGGAGAAGAGCAGTCGCAGCAGAGAAGAAGAAGGAGAAGAGCAGTCGCAGCAGAGAAGAAGAAGGAGAAGAGCAGTCCAAAAAGAATTTGAAGTCGTGAAAGAGTATATTAAGTCGCATAAGGATTTCAGCAATTAAAAAAAAAAAAAAACTTACAATTTTTTAAAAAAAGAAACCCTAAACTGTTACCTTGTCAAAAAAAAAAAAAAAAAAAAAACCCTAATTAGCGCTTTTTCAAATTAAGCGCGCTTTTTTTACGCTTTTGCTTTTCTGCGCTTCTCGCTTCTACAGTAGAAGCGAGCGCCTTTTCAATGTCGCCTCGCTTCACGAAATAAAAGCACAGGGGCCTCGCCTCGCCTCGCTTCTCGCTTTAAGCGCGCTTTTTTGCGCTTTTTACAACACTGGTACAAGGTTAGTGGGCAGTAGAGCGTTGACTCGCTTATCCTTCCATACTAGTAATCCTAGTATTTCTCGGCTCCTATAGTTTCTTGTCCATTGGTTTTTATTATTATCTAATGTTGCTTGTACTTCGACTATCACATTTTTTTTGGTGTAGTTACTGTTCTTTCTTTTTTTTCTCCGAGTATTTTGTCATGCTTTCTGTAGTATTTTGCTATGATCCCTTCGCCTCAGTTCTTTCATTTTTTGTGCTGCTTTGATTTGCTTTGCCTTGAGCCGAGGCTCTATTGGAAACCTCCTAACTACCTCCCAAGGTAGGGTAAGGTCTGCGTACACTCTACTCTCTCTAGATCTCACTTCTACTCTCTCTATATCTTACTTCTGGGATTACACGGGGTATGTTGTTGTTGTTGTTGTATGTCATTATAAGATGCAATTACACTATGCTTTTTTTTTTGGATGGAGGTAGAAATGTTGACATTGAGGAAATAGAAAAGGGGAGGTTTACGAGTTTTTGAGAAAGATAAACTAGGAGGGCTAGGACCGTATAGGTCCTTTCACAGTGTCTTTCCCCTCTGGAACTAGAAGGAACCGATCACTCTTTCTTTCCTTTACCTCTTTTGTGCCAAACCTAATGTTAGTAGTTTCTTCATTTGTGCATGGATTAAGAGGGAAAAAATATGCTGCTGATTTCCTTCATCAAATGTAATACTAGTCTGATACTAAGAACAATTGGGAGGAAAAGTAAAAGGCAGTGATATTCACATGAGAAGTTGTCAACTTGTTGGCTTAATACAGTATATAACTTGTATATGAAAAACCAGTAGCTCACTGAATAAAGTAGTGCAAGCAATCTGATGGGGAATGTAACCATCATATTTGATCAGTGTTTATCCATTAATCTTCTTTATTATCTGTTTGTAGAGATTTGAACTGTTCCATTGGCTATTTCTGTTCTACATTTTTTGACAAGAAATGGGTCCCTACTTGTAAGCTCATTTTTTGTTGTTTTACATGCAGATCAAATTATTGAAAATTCTGGCATTACTCGGAAGCGGTGACAAAAAAGCCAGTGAACAAATGTATACAATTGTTGGTGACATTATGAGAAAGAGTGATTCATCAAGTAATATAGGAAACGCTATTCTATATGAGTGCATATGCTGTGTTTCCTCAATACATCCTAACCCCAAGATTTTAGAAACTGCGGCAGAAGCAGTTGCCAAATTTTTGAAGGTTCGTCTTCTTCATCCTGCTGTGTGTACCTTTCTGTTGCAGTGGGAGTGCCTCGTTGTTAGAACTTAGAAGCTAATTTGTTCAAAATTACCTGGTGCACAGAATGATAGCCATAATCTAAAGTACTTGGGGATTGATGCGCTTGGTAGATTAATAAAGATAAGTTCAGAAATTGCTGAGCAGCACCAACTGGCCGTGATTGATTGTTTAGAGGTAAGAAACGTTATTTCTTGGGTCCTTTCTAAACAAAGGATATTTCAATTTATGGATCCACGACAATTTTAGCTTGTCCTTCCTGTTTATGCCTGCAATATATTGCTAGAACGTTCAGATATTCGATTTCAGCATTGCAACACCTTTATTTGCGATTGCATGCCTTCTTTTTTTTTTCTCTTTCTTTTGGACTGTATCATGTCAACCATACTATAAGTTATATCATTTCGGTGCTTTTCTATCAACAAATGCGGGTAAGAGCAATAATTAGTCTCTTTCACTTCATTTTTTCCTTTTTTGACATGCGCTAATTCAAAGAAGACCAAGGACCTTTCGGGGTGGCTCAGTGGTTTGGGCTTGGGATTTCCATGTTGGAGGTGTCAAGTTCGAAACCCCTTGCTAGCGAAAGCAAAGGGTTTGCCTTTTGGGTCGAGCTCGTCGCACAGGGCTTGCCTAGTGCGGGTTACCTCTCTATGTGGTTTGCGCTATTGCATAGGAGTGGGGTTTTACCCTTTGCGCACCCAAAGGGTGCGGGTTTCCCTTGTCATAAAAAAAAAAAGAAAAAAGAAGACCAAGGTGATTCCACCAAAAGAAGCAATAGACCTACGTTACAATGTCTCAATAGAATGGAGCCTCTTGGCACCCCCTGATTTCTTCTCTTACCTTAAATTGACCAAAAATCTGGAGTACTTTTGATCATCTTTATAGAGTGCTCAATTGCGTTGAGTACTAATATGGGCTTACTTCCGAAGGTTAATGCAAAAGACAGAGAAATGAAATCATGTATACTTTGCTTCTTTGCTTTTTCTCTTTTTGATTGGTATGTTGCTTCTTTCCCTATACGGTGGAAGCCAAATTTTCTTCTTAGGGTCTAAAATTTGGACCGTCTGTTTAACACCTGCAGCACAGAGTCTGCCCATATTTTATTAGAACCTTTTTTCGGTGAAATTGAACATTTTCTTTCGCAAGCCTTGGCACCTTTAAATAAACTTTGAAAGCAATTTCTTTTTTCCCCCCTTGCAAAGCCAGATTAAGAAACTCTTAGCGACAACTGCTGGAACTTTGGATTTTGAATAAGATAATTATTCATCCTAGTTATCACTGCACGGGTATATTGCACATCTTTAAAGTCCACATTTTGAGACAACATAGAACCAAGGGCTTATGGGCTTTTCTTTTAACCAACTTCTAAGTACCTTTTGTCTTCCACAATTCCGGTTATTTCTTTACATTATGGCTAGTTAGCTACCTAGTTTGTTTTATGGTATATTTGGGTAGTACTGTATTCATCTATAACACTGAGAGGAAAATGAATTTTGGCTCGATTTATTCATTTCCCCAAAAGGAAAAATTTCCTCCCTTTTATTGTACAGAGGTAGCTATTAATCAATACGCTTTGGAAGATGGAGATGCTTTCTTTGATGTTTCTGTTTCTGATGCTGACCATTTTAA